TTCCCGCCCCCCCCCCCCCCGCTGCCGCCGCCGCCGACCCGTGAGTCACGACCGCGTCACGAGGGCGGCGCGGCTCCCGCGGGAGCGGCGCCGCCGCCGCCGGCGCCGTGTCGCTCCGACAGCTGGTGCGGCGCCGTCCGCTGTCGTCGGCCGCTCCTTTCACTGTCCGGCCGGCCGGCGGCGCTGTAGGCGGTCACCACCACGCCTGACACTGGCTGAACACATCCCGGCTCATCCCGTCCCGGCGCTCCCCGGCCCCGACACCAACATGAAAACGGCACTTCCCACGCTGCATGGCAACAAATAACACCGTTTCCTGATTGTCCGAACGACGCTGATTGTTTCCGATTCAGAGGAATGTCACATATCCAGCTTAAAGCCGCCTGCTCATGCCCATGCCGCCACTGTCCCGGCGACTGCGGCTGTGGCCGCAACCCGCCGGGCCGCACCTGGTCCGTGCAGCAGGCCCAGCCCATGACTCAGCTCTGCAGCGGCGCTCCCCCGCCCATCGCCCGTCCCAGCTGCGGAGCACACGCCGGGTGCGCAGCCGTCGCAGCGGCGGCAGCGTTGGTGGGGCCTCCCCAGCGGCACGGTGTCGTCGAGAGAGCGAACTCCGCCGCCGGGGCCGCACTCGGCCGTACTCCGCCGCCGGGGCCGCACTCGGCCGCACTCCGCCGCCGGGGCCGCACTCGGCCGTACTCCGCCGCCGGGGCCGCACTCGGCCGTACTCCGCCGCCGGGGCCGCACTCGGCCGTACTCCGCCGCACCAGCCACATTTTACCGTCGGGTGCGGAGCGTCCGCCGTCGCAGCCCGGCCGCCTGCCGCGCCCACCGGAGCCGGCGGCGATCGGGGGCCACCAGGCCTCTCCAAAGACACACCCCCTCCCCGGCCCCATGGCGTCGACGCTCATAGGCTCCCTGTCGACGATTCGTCGTGATGGGGGCACGCTGATCAGAGGTGCGGCAGAAAATAAACCAGGATCTGCGAGTCATTAAACAAATGGCGGCGACGTTACGCCGGAGCCGTGACTCACTGCCGGTTGGCGCCAAGTTTTGAAAAAGCGCGCGCCCGCAGCCGGCCGGCGCGCCAGCTGACGGGTGCACCCAGCGGGCAGCGTGGCCGGCGAAGATGGGTGCGGGAACAGTAATCGAAATGACCGCCCGACGACGAAATGGTCATCGGAGAGGCAAAAGGAATCAGAAGAATGCCTTCTCCCCCAGCGAGCGTCTGCGGCGATATCACGGGGTGCCATCTGCGGTAATGAAGCAATCCCCCGTAATACGCTGCAACAATAAACATAAATGCACGCATGTTGCAACTAACGCGTCGTGGCCCGAAAATGCGCGTACACTCCAGCCAAAGTGAACAGCCTAAACGTGATGCCAGCCACAACTGGGGTCGGCTCCCGCCTTGAGCATCTCCAGCGCCGGAGCCGGAGTGCCGCGTACTCCCGTAATAAATCACGGACGTTACCGTGCGGCATAATTACTGGTGTGCGCTCGCCGGCCGCCAGCAGCCTCAGCTATGTGTAATCCAGCCGGCTATGGCGGCCGTACAGACAGCTCGAGACCGCCGAGTTCCCACGGCTGGCGGCGCGGGTGGCTTCCCAGGCCGGGGCGGCGCGAAGTGTCAGGGTACGGAGCAGCGGAGCCCCGATGACCCAGCCGAGGCACGGCCGGCCGCCGGCACACCGGATGCTTGGATTACACCCCATAAAGAGGTACGTCTGCCCACACACTGCGCATGCACCGGATGAACGATGCTGGGGTACGTGTCCACGTCCGTCGCCACACCATAAACGGGGACAACCCTGGGTACACGGGCACAGGTGGTCGTGCAGGATGCGCTATAGACGAGCACGCCCTCCGCATGCAACGGCTACTCGTATCGCACAGGAAGCGGACACACCCCAACGGCTTACAGGGCAGCTGTTGGGGTGTGTTACACTGATTACACTGCAGCTGCTTACAGCCACCATAGATACGAATCCGGCGATCTTTCGTGGCGCCCTAAAACCCAAATAAACACCGCCGCAAACGTCCGGTCTCCATCGCTGAAGTTCACCATATCACTGAAGCGTTCGAGAAGTATTCAAGGTCACTCACAAAATAAGTTGGGGGGGGGGGCTAAGCAAGTGAAAGCGTCTAGCCCCACCTCCCAATTACGCCCAAAACGGCTTTCTCCCCTATGTTTGCCCCACTCTTTTCCTAACGACAGGGGGGGGGGGCCGAAGTCCCCACATTAAGTTGTAAATTACACCCGTCGTTACACTACACGCCTGATTCAGTTAGTAAAGTCGATTCGGCAGCAGCGTCTCCACGCTTACGACATATACGGTTGGGAGCAACGTCCCGACGTCATCCGCTTATCCATCGACACAAGCGGCTGCTTCGGTCACTGTCACTTCGGTTCGCGATGACCTGTGTTGATCTGTGGGGGGTAGTTTGTATAGATAGTTCTCAGCCAGCATCGCAAGATTCCAAGCCACGGAATCGGGCATTGGTGCATCCAGCGGCCGGGCAGGGCCAATGCCATGACATATGATCACCGACCATCTGCAAAACCCCACTCTACCAACGCGCTCCAAGTTCCAGCGTTTACCACATGTACCCCGGTCATTTCTGTCACCCGCAGGGACCACCTGGGACCTGGGTGCGGCACGTGCCCGTGTTGACCTGCACGGGTCCCACACGTCACTGGCCAGCCTAAAGACTCGTGCAGCGACGGCAGCAGGGACTGGGGGCGACGACCTTGGCGAGGTGGCGCGCGCTGCACGTGTGGCCGTGCGCCGCGCCGGCGCCGGGGCAGCCCACCTGGCCGCGCCCGCCCCAGCCACAAGAGGCAGGCTTAGTTCGTGGCATGGCCCGGGGCCGGCCGACTGTCAGGTATGGTCAGCCTGTGGCAGTGCTGGCGATCGGGCCGGCCAACGTGGGCGGACTGTATGCAGGATCGGGCGTTAGTTCGAACCAAACCCGGGGATTAAAGATCAAATCGGACAACTACGGCTAAAGGTGTCCCTTTCGTCCGCCTTTGGCACAGGAAGCGAGCAGAAAACAGCAAAATGGAGCCTGACCGGAGCAGCAGAATGATTAATGAGCGGAACGTCACACCTAACAAAAGGTACCCCTAACGACGCCAATCATTGCATAACTAACGTTTTATCCCACCGGGAACTAGTGCCAGCGCCGGGTGACGCACCTTACACCGGAAACGGGCACAGCGCAATCGGATTGCGCGTCCGTCGGTCGCGCACGCTACCGTCCTGCAGCGGGGTCGCGTCGCCCGGTCTGCGCCGGATTTCGCTAACCCCCCGCCGCCGAGCCGCGAGCCGCACCAAATTTGGTCAGCTCGCCGGCAAGGCCACGGCGCCGACAGACCGGTCCCCCGCCCCGCCCCGCCCGCTGCAACCCTTCCGTTTCATTCAAGCTCGGCGGCGGCGGCGGCTGGACAGGCCGGCGGCGGCGGTGGCGGCAGCGGCGGCGGCCGGTGAGCTCTGAGTCACCGCGCCACCGCCGCCGCCAGCTGCAGAGGGCCCGGCCGGCGGGGCGGGGCGGGGCAGCGCACCCGCCAGACGCAGGGCGGGGCGGGCCCCTGTGCCCATGCGGCCGGTGCACCGCCGAACCGTCCAGCCCGCCGCGCCCGCTGCAGCAGGCCGAGCGTCTCGGTCGCCGCGCACGCCGATAGCGCCGGACCAACGCCGTCTGCCCGTTTGTCGCCGCCGGCCACCGCTCCGCTCGTAAGTGTCGCGACCCCTGACGTCGACGCCGGCGATGGCCGAGATAGCCGGCGCTGACTGGCAGCAGGTGAGCTGCACCATGGCACACCCGGACAGCAGATAGCCAGCTGGGCTGAGCGACGAGCGGCCGCGGAGCGCGGCGCGATCGACGGCCAGTCCACGCTCCGACCGACCTAGAATGGGATCCGCACGCCTGGCTGCCGGCTCTTCTCCAGCGCCCCAAGTTCCTCTCCAGTACCAGCGCGCTACAGCAACGCAGCGGCCAACACGCGCTACAGCAGCCCCACCAGTGAAGCTGGTCATCACACTGATGGCGTGCCACCCGCCACGCCTCACCGTGCTGGGTCTCGTCTCCTCGGTGCCTCGCACCCCTCCTCCCTCTTCGCCGTCGGGAGCCCCTCTCCCTCCTCTACGTCCTCTTTTGCCATCTCGGAGCTTTTCTAGCGCAGTTCGAGTGGCTGAGGGCCACTCGGGCGCCGCCAAAGCCCGTCCCAGTGATTTACCGTCACGACCGGGCCGACCCGGGCGGCCCTGTTTTGTGACCACGCCGGGAACGCCAGCCAATCCGTCGTGACGGCGGCGAGCACGCCGGCGCCTTCAGCGCCAAGACTGCCGCCGCCGCCGCCGCCGCCGCCGCCGGCCGGGCCCTGACTCACCGCACCGCCGCCATCAACGCCACGTCCGCCGGCACGTACTGTCGGCACGTCCGATCAGCATGTCGGTCGGGGAGCGGCCGGCCCGTTGAGCAAGCGCCGATTGACCCGTGACGCGGCTTGTCCGGACCGATGGGGCGCCGATCGGCCGCGCGGCGCGGCGCTGCACTCCGCGGCTATATACGGTGTTGAACGGGAGCGAGGGCGGGGGGCCGGCGGGAGCACGGGAGGCCGGCAGATCGGTGCGGGCACGGGGCGGGGAACTGACGCACGGTCGGCCAGACGCGCCCCGCTTCAGTGGGTCAAGTTCGGAGGCTGCCAAGGGTCAGCCGCTGCAGACGGGCACGGCAAGGTCCGTCCTTGAGGACTGCTCAACAACGCAGACGGAAAGCAGCGACACGCAGCCTTGAGGACGGCACATCGTCGTGTTTTGGTTCGCAGTGACGTGTTGCCTTTTCAGCGCGCGTGTCACAGGGGATGGCGTGCGTTCGTGTGCTGTTTGATACACAAAGACTCGCTGCCTACTTAAGTGCCTAGCAGCCTACCAGCCCAGACTGCCAGCCAGCCCCGACCCCGCAGAGCCCAGCCAGTTGGCCCGCGTGACACTCACCCTGCAGCATGCTCCTGTAGGCATTGTCGGTGACGGCGAACACGTGCGGCGGCACCTCGTGGCGCTTCTTGCCCTTGTAGAGCTCCACCACCTTCTCCGAGTAGATGGGCAGCCGGCGGTACGGGTTCACCACCACGCAGAAGAGGCCCGAGTACGTCTGCGGGCGAGAGGACCACCACGGTAACACACCTTGAGCGGGACGAGAGGCAGTGACAGCACGGCGACGAGCCGGCCGGAATACAGCGGCCGAGAGTTAACAACGCAGCGGACTTGTCAGAGGCGACGAGCCAGAGTCTGCCGCTGGCATGGTCAGCGGTCAGGACGGCGGTCAGGCCCAAGACGATCGGGAGCCGCCGGCCAGTGGCGGCGCCAGGGCAGCGCCGGGAGAGTGGCAGTCAGGTCAGAGCCGCCGGCCAGGGGCGGCGCCGGGGCAGCGCCGGGAGAGCGGCAGTCAGGTCAGAGCCGCCCGCCAGGGGCGGCACCGGGGCAGCGCCGGGAGAACGGCAGTCAGGTCAGAGCCGCCGGCCAGGGGCGGCACCGGGGCAGCGCCGGGAGAACGGCCGTCAGGTCAGAGCCGCCGGCCAGGGGCGGCGCCGGGGCAGCGCCGGGAGAGTGGCAGTCAGGTCAGAGCCGCCGGCCAGTGGCGGCGCCGGGGCAGCGCCGGGAGAGCGGCAGTCAGGTCAGAGCCGCCGGCCAGGGGCGGCACCGGGGCAGCGCCGGGAGAGCGGCAGTCAGGTCAGAGCCGCCGGCCAGGGGCGGCACCGGGGCAGCGCCGGGAGAACGGCCGTCAGGTCAGAGCCGCCGGCCAGGGGCGGCGCCGGGGCAGCGCCGGGAGAGCGGCAGTCAGGTCAGAGCCGCCGGCCAGGGGCGGCGCCGGGGCAGCGCCGGGAGAACGGCAGTCAAGTCAGGTCAGTCAGGTCAGGGAAGCGGTTCGGGCAAGACCGCCAGGTACGGGCGGGCATGACTGACGGTCGTGGCTCCGATGTGTTTCGGTGGCGTGGATGCCGTTTAGAGCACGCCAGCACGGAGCAGGAGAAGCTAACAGCTACCTACACCGCATGTAATTCCGACCTTTGCCCCACGTAAGTCACAATTATCCGCCAATGACGGGTCTTGTATAACCTCCCACGTAGAGTTCAACGTTTGCCTACACGCTTCGTCATCGCTAACAGTCATTCATTACGTAAAGACCGCATAGTCATCGACCGCCCCTTGATCCAGTGAGCACGATGGCAAGGAAGCAAGTCGCACCCGGACGCGTGGACCCCAGCTGACGAGCGAAAACGACAGAGTCCACAGACAGATGCAGCCACCAAGAAAACCCAGTGCCAGGAAGCGCGTTATGCCAGAGTTTCGCTAACCGGCGCCACGGCCTAACAGACCCGCCACATGCGTTGCGCCTCCCGAAAAGGGCCGCTGCAACTGCAGCGGCCCGGTGTGACCATTTTTCGGGCCAGTTTCGGTGGCGGGCCGCGTGCGCCGCAGCGCCACATACAAGGCCCGGCGGCGGGCCGCACTGTCACCGTCCCGGCCGGCACCGGCCATCAATCATCGCCGGCCGGAGCGGCCAGTTTACGGCCGGAGCCCGACCGGCCCCCGGCGCGGCGCCGGGTCGCGTGACGGTGACGCTCGCGGGCCGCAGCCGCCGACCGCAGGCCCCGCGCGCGCGGCCTTACACGGAGCCACGTCCTGTGTGTGCCCGTGTGATGTCACCGGCGAGATACGGTTCCGCGTACCGCGCTGGGCAGGCGGACGGTACGGTCGCGGCGCGCGGGGACAAATTCAGCGAATTCTAGGAGTGACGCCGCCCATCTCCGGCGTATCGCATTCAGTGGCACATTTGGATAGGATCAGATAGGCAGAGCTGAAGTGGCACTGAAGCGAGACCTTTCTACAGTTACGTCACAAAGGAACTGGGCGTCTTTGCGGTCACAATAACCCGGGGCTTTCACTCCATACGCAAACACGACAGCAACAGTAAACGACCAAAGGCAATTGCTTGCCCGAAGATCCCCCGAAAGGCCCGCGGTACCATAGCTCTCACGTGTCCTGCTGCCGGGGCACATCCCGACACGAGTCCTCCCTCCCGCTTCCGAGAGACGGCGCCCCTCCTGCCCCGCCGCGCGCCGGGAGCGGCGCCGCCCCTCGGTTGGTCGTGCGCGGTACGGCACGGCACACCAGGTACGGTACAGCACCGCGCCGTCTCCGCGCCGTCACCAGCGGCCTGCATGTGGCGCTCCCTGCCGGCCGGGCGCAACGCATACTAACGAAGCCGAAAACTGGGCCAGGGCGAGCGGCGGCGGCGGCGGCGGCCGGCACAGCGGTCCGGCACAAGGCCGGCCCGGCGGCTCGGGCCGGCCGCCGCTGACGACACGCGTCGGCGGCGGCCGCGCCTGACGTCACGGCCCTTCTCGGACGCGGCGCGAGTCACCGGCCGGCCCGCCGGCGGCGGCGTCGGAGCTCGACGCCGTCGGCCGGGGACGGCCGCGCGCTGACACGGGCGCCGATGACACGCCGGTGACGGCGGTGAGCGGGGCGCGGTCGGCCGACGGCGCGCTCGGACGAGACGGCGTCGGCCGGGGGACGGCCGCGCGCTGACACGGGCGCCGATGACACGCCGATGGTGGCGGTGAGCGGGGCGTGGTCGGCCGACGGCGCGGTCGGCGGACGGCGTCGGCCGGCGGTCGCCACCGGCGACGCACCGTCCGTGCCGCTGTCTGGACCGCGCCGCCATGTGAACCCAGTGCTGGATGGTGGCCCACGCCTGCCGCTGCGGTGGCGTCAAATCAACCTGTTGGCCGACGCGCCCTGAGCCCAGCTGGCTGTGCCCGTCTGTGCTGAGTGGTCCGCACTGCCGACTGCCCGGCCTGAGCCCAGCTGGCTGTGCCGTCTGTGCCGAGTGGTCCGCACTGCCGACTGCCCGGCCTGAGTCCAGCTGGCTGTGCCGTCTGTGCCGAGTGGTCCGCACTGCCGACTGCCCGGCCTGAGCCCAGCTGGCTGTGCCGTCTGTGCCGAGTGGTCCGCACTGCCGACTGCCCGGCCTGAGTCCAGCTGGCTGTGCCGTCTGTGCCGAGTGGTCCGCACTGCCGACTGCCCGGCCTGAGCCCAGCTGGCTGTGCCCGTCTGTGCCGAGTGGTCCGCACTGCCGACTGCCCGGCCTGAGCCCAGCTGGCTGTGCCCGTCTGTGCCGAGTGGTCCGCACTGCCGACGGGCCGGCCTGAGCCCAGCTGGCTGTGCCCGTCTGTGCCGAGTGGTCCGCACTGCCGACGGGCCGGCCTGAGCCCAGCTGGCTGTGCCCGTCTGTGCCGAGTGGTCCGCACTGCCGACGGGCCGGCCTGAGCCCAGCTGGCTGTGCCCGTCTGTGCCGAGTGGTCCGCACTGCCGACTGCCCGGCCTGAGCCCAGCTGGCTGTGCCGTCTGTGCCGAGTGGTCCGCACTGCCGACTGCCCGGCCTGAGCCCAGCTGGCTGTGCCGTCTGTGCCGAGTGGTCCGCACTGCCGACTGCCCGGCCTGAGCCCAGCTGGCTGTGCCCGTCTGTGCCGAGCGGTCCGCACTGCCGACTGCCCGGCCTGAGCCCAGCTGGCTGTGCCCGTCTGTGCCGAGTGGTCCGCACTGCCGACTGCCCGGCCTGAGCCCAGCTGGCTGTGCCCGTCTGTGCCGAGTGGTCCGCACTGCCGACTGCCCGGCCTGAGCCCAGCTGGCTGTGCCCGTCTGTGCCGAGCGGTCCGCGCTGCCGACGGGCCGGCCTGAGCCCAGCTGGCTGTGCCCGTTTATGCCCAGTGGTTAGCGCTGCCGACGGGCCGGCCTGAGCCCAGCTGGCTGCGCCCGTCTATGCCCAGTGGTCAGCGCTGCCGACGGGCCGGGGGCCGCCCGCCGCCCGTCCTCCGCGGCGGCCGCAGACCCCCGGCCGGACAGCGGCTGACATCCGGCGGCCGACAGCACCGCTGCGCCGGCGACGGGCCGCGCCGATAACGCCGCCGCCAGCGTGTGACGGCTATCAGACCCACCGCCGGCCAGGGCGGGCGGTCCCAAACGGACGCCACCGGTCGTCGCCGTCACCGCGGCGGCGGCCGTCTCGGGCGGGCGGGCCGGGGCCGAGTGGCATTCCGCGGGAGGCGGCGGGCGGCCGCCGAATCACAGAGCGGCGCCGGCGGGAGGCCGCGCCGCACTATCGGCCGCATCGCCGCTCTTTCGTCACGCGCCGCCGCGACACACTACGAGAGGAGGCCGGGCCCGCCGCCATGCGGGGCTGCACCGGCACGCGTTGGTGTGTAAAATGCCGGGGTAATGCCGGGCTAATGCTGGGTCTAACTGGGGAGATATCCTCAGTCGCAACGTTATCCACATGGAAATCGTCCTTGGCTCATGGTCACACAAGCAACTTTTCCGTCCATCAATGGCGTACATGCCAAGCAGCTGGTCGTTATCCACTTCAGTCAACGGTTTCTTTGAGGCAGCCCCAATTTCCCGCAAACCAATCAAGGAAACACTCGACAGCGAGCCACTCACGCCGCGCCGACAGATAAAGCCCATTAATAACTTCGGCCCTGTGTAACGAACCCTTTTACGGATGCATGAGATGCTAAGGACATGCCCATTTACGACCAGAGACAACTGCGGTCTCCCACTGGCCAGCGGGACGCCGCGGGGCGCCGCCGCCTCAGCCGCCGCGCACCTCCCGCCGTATTCAGGTCGGCGGCGGCCCGCCCGCATCCGGCCGGCGCGCGCGGCTCCGGGAAGCGGGCCGTCGGCGGGTGTCGCCACTTCCGAAGCCAGAGGCGTGCCGCGGTCCGGCGGAGTGGCCAGCGCCGCGCGAGGCGAGGCCCAGGTGCGCGGGCTCGCGGAGCCGGTCAGCCCCGGGGCACTGGGAGACCCGGTGCGGCGTCGGCCGGGCGGTCGCTGCTCGATGTCAAGACATGTGAGTGACGGCAATTGATAGAGCCGCTGCCGCCGACGACGCGATAGTCTGGGGGCGTGCTGATAAAGTGATGGCGTGAGCCGACTCCGGCACTTCAGGGGCACCGGAACATGATCAAAGTTGTCGAGCTATCGGCCCAGCTGAGTGCACCGAACGGCGAAAGCAATCGCTTCGAGTGCACCGCGCTGTTTCAGTGGCGAAGGTTGCCCCAACGACGGCTGATACCATCGGAGCCCGAC